TCATTATATGTTTTGACAGCTAGCATTCTATGGCTTATTTGTAAAAAATTTTGTTTGATTTCGTGCAATTGTTTATTTTTTGTGTCCCATCAAATATGGAAGATCAAAAGCAGCATCTTCGGCATATTTTGCTTTTTTATTACCAAAAAAATAAAAATGCCGTTCAAGCAAGAAAAAAATCGTGTGACATGTATGGTGGAGATGTGTTGACAGAACAACAGTGCCAAAACTGGTTTACAAAATTTCGTTCTCGCAATTTCAGTATTGAAGATGCACCACGTTATGGATGGCCAATTGAAGCCAATGAAAACAAAATAAAAGTACCGATTGAAGCAAACTGCGGAATAACAACACGTGAAATCACTAAGAGATTAAATTTGTCAAATTGAACTGTTTATGAGTACTTGAAACAAATTGGTTTCGTTTCAAAGCTCGATATATGAATTCCATGAGTTCTTAAAGAGAAATGCTCTATTTGGTGGGATTTTAAGGAAATTTTTTTTTGAGCTTTTACTAGAAAATTTAACAATTGATTCGAAAGTGTACTGCATTCGAGTAAACAAATTGCGTAATATCATCAAACAGAAAAAGCTGGCCAGAATTGATAAAAAAAACAGGTGTAGTGTTTTACCACACTAATGTCAAATTTCACACAAGTTTGGTAACTCGTCAGAAACTGTTATAACTTAGATGGGACATGCTATCACACCAACTGTATTCGCCAGATCGAGCACACTCAGATTATTACTTGTTCTAGTCCATACAATTTTTTTTAACTGTACGACATTTACTTGAAATGACAATGTCAAAAATCACTTGGATCGGTTTTTTGTAAGCAACGATCAAAACTTTCATGAATGTGAAATTGTGCTACTACCAGAAACGATGACAACAGATATTTGACCAAAATGGTCAACTTATAATTCAATAAAATATTTATTTATTATAAGAATATTGCGTTTTTTTCCACGGAAAAAAAACGAACTTACTTTCCGAACAACCCAATATATTCATTCCGTTAAGCGCTCATCATTACAAACGCATGCGCAGTTATTATTTTTTCGTAATTTTATGTTCTATTTCTTTAACGTTCTTTTTACTATATCATTTAATTTATGAAGATCGTTAAAGCCGATCGAAACGTTTTTACGACATTAAATTATTTGCTGGAATATTTAAAAAGGTGATAATTTTGATTAATTCATAATCTTCTTTTATAACTTTTATACATACTTAAAGAAAAGAGCAAGTTTGCATTCTAATTAACTTTATATACGATGTAATCTATATTAAAGCGAATACTAATTAAGATGTAAACTCAAATCGGATTTCATGAATTGACTGGTGTCCCGTTAACCAAAGAGTACCTCGAAATTATTTCCTTCCTTGAATTTCGAACCAACGAGGACTTCCTGTATTAATACATACGCGCGATACGTATTAAAAGTAAGCCTAACTCTTGTGTTTGAAAATAATACTTTGCGCACAAACTGAAATCAATCAGCGTTCACAAAACGCGACAATGTTACATAACGGCCGTTAGACAAAAGCATTTTTTATCGATTTCTAGTAAGAATATTACACCACGTCGACGTTTTTCACGCTTTCAATATACAAATTGCGAAAACATCAAACTTATTCATGAAATTTACTTAAATAAATTAAGAGATTACTGTATATATATTTTTAAATTCTGCTACAAACGTTTTAAATAACGCCAACGAAATTAAAACTGTCTCGTTTCAAAGAAAAAAACAAAAATCAAATTTAAATTCGAATTGACGTAAAATAGAATCGCTTTAAACGTCGTTCGAAACATCGAATTCAGTTTTCTGCTTTACTATGGACAGAAAAGGTCGTGCCACAAAAAGCCGAGTGACATTCTCGTCTTTAGAAGAAAGTAGTTCATCACAGAGAATATGTACTCCCATCGGGGAAAATTTGCACCGTTATATTAATGAGGTGATTGACGAATGTGGAAAAATCGTGTTAAAACCCTTCTTAAGCGCCTAACTTACCAACCGCACTTTTTTCACGCGGCGTCTCACAGAATCCATTTTTTTTTCTAAAATTGTAAAATTATTGGCTTCGCTTCAAAAATTATAATTACATCTTTGTTTTCGCAATTTTCTCTACTTTCGAACAGTGTAAAATATTTTTATATTGGCACAAATGCTTTATTTGCATCGAATTTAATGTAATTTGATACGAAAAACGCAAAAAATAAACATATCAAATTTCAACTCGCTGTAATTTATCTCCTGTTTCACCGATTGCTATCGGGTTTGTTTGTAAATGGGGAAGAAATATTACACTTTCAAGTGAAGTGAGTAGAATTTTCTCACTACTGCGAGAAAATTTGTCATCAGACCCCGCGTTACCCCCTACCGCGAAAGTCAATAAACGTTAATTGTTTTATGACTCTATTTTCAACACTTCTCTTCTGAGTTGTAAATCGACTAATTGACAAAGTTTTTACTTTATTTTACTCATAAAAATGTTTTTTTCAATATTTAACAGATAGTTTTCTTAGATCTTTACATATTAATTTTATTTTCAATTTTTAATGTGATATAGTCGTGTGTTAGGCTTAAATCGATCACCAAATATAAAAATGGACATCGCTCAAAATATTACAGAATCCATCAAAATTTCTTGCTGATAGTTTAGATATAAATGTTTTCTGTGCATGAAATGAAGCAACCAAAAAAATACAGGGTGGACCATCAAAAATTCGGCAATTTACGACATGATGTCGAAGGCGTAAATTCTTTTATTTATAACTAAAAATATTCTCGAAATTTAATCAAAAAAATGCATTTGCATCAATACCTAAATGAAATAGTTATGCAAGAAACAAAAATTGTACAATTAGCGCAATTTGTTTTAGCGTAATTAATTTTAAAAATTTTTGTCGCTGTTATTTATCGCGTGGACAAACGCGATTTCTCGCAGAGTATAAGACTTCGCTGAGTGTAATAATAAATTCCGATATCTCGCTTTAAAATCGGGCTAGAATCGCCCATTTTCATTATTTTTGCCGCAAATGTCTCACAGTTTACGATTATTAAATGTAATAAAAATTTTAAATTTTTTAGGAAAAGAGTAAAAATTTAAAAATCTGTAAACGTTCTGTTTAATTTGAAACATTTGTTAGCTAGACACACCTGTTTTCTTTTAAACAAAACAAACTTCAGCTCTTTATCTAGAGCGGGGGAGAAGTTATTGCCATAATTCACACTACTTCTCAAATTACTTAGCAGGGAGAGGAGTCAATTGTCATCGTGAAGCAATGCCGCAAAGTTTATCAATATATATTTCTGCTTCAAATAGTAAATATTTGACACCTTTTATATATTTTTTTCTACACTTTATGCAATAATACACTATAATAAGCGATCAGTTAATTTTTTTTTGCGATTACGCAACATCCGGAAGTAATAAGTTTCCCGGTTAATTTTTTAGCTGGAAGCTTTTGTTAAAAAATCTTCTTATCTAAGTAAAGTCAAATAACATGCAAACTAGTAAAAATACGCTCTAAAATATAGAATATAGCAATTTTTTAACGTTTGTTTACATTCTGACTTTGATCACGTGGATTGGTTCTTCGCGGGAAAATCCAGACCAGATGGCTCTGAAAACACTCTCATTCGTTGAAAGTTGATTCTGTCATAATATAAATTACCAATTAGAGCGTAATAAGCGTAGAAATAAAGATTTTAATGCCAATTAACAGCAAGAACATCTTCCATACACTTACTATAAGGAGGTGGAGTTTCCTGGGAATATTTATTGCTAGATAGTTTTAAAAACATATTTACATGCCTAAATATTGTCGAATTGCCTAATTTAATGTCAAAAACGTTAAATTAGTTGTTTAGAGCTAAAAAACGATTTAAAAAGCAAATTTATTGTGATTGTTTACATTTTACTTTGAAGGTTGGAGGCGGGACTTTTCGCGGCAATTTTTCTTTTCACAAGTCTGTGATTAGTTACAGTAATGTCAACAAAAACAGAAGATACCCAATAAAACTTTAGGAGTTTCCCTTTGATTGTGTTCAACCAACTGTTTGATTTACTGTAAATGGCAGAGGAGTGTAATTACCGAAATATTTATGGCCCAGCGGTGGTAACAAAAACACGTATTGGCTTAAACAAAGTCAATCGACCTACAAAAGAGCGAATCGAAGCTGAGATCGCTGAAAAACTCGAATATAATACAGATGCGTACAATGGTCGCGATCAACAATAGTGATTCTTGCAATCGTGTTTTTTCTGCGGAATTTTTCTTGCGAACGGTCGCAGGGCTTCTGTGAGATGCCGGCATTTTTTTATATTTTTTCCCCGAGTAAAGTTAGCGCGCAATAAAAAAATTATTTATTGCATTTTTTGCAGCTGAAAAAAATTGGAGAACTTGAATTTTTTGAAAAATTTCGAAAAAAAATCCCGCTGAAAAAACTGACGCAGGGCGTCTGACAAACGTCCCGTGATCGTACAAGGGCTAACTCTTATCGAAGCGCGTTTTTTCTTTAATTTCTCGAGTTGATCCATTTTAAACTGTCTACCACGTATAACGGACAGATAAATTCCTTCTACGTTGGATAGGTGACTTAAAATAAAGTTTGACCCAATCTTATTTGCTTGCGAAGTTGTCTCTCTTTTCTTCTTGATCCACCTCGACAGACCAGATGTTTGTCGATTTTTAATGGACTGTAAAAATATGAAAGTACTGCGGTTTTGCAAAAAATAACGTTTAATGCGGAATGAAACACTGGTACAAAATGGCTGCTACAAATGACCNGACCAGATGTTTGTCGATCTTTAATGGACTGTAAAAATATGAAAGTACTGCGGTTTTGCAAAAAATAACGTTTAATGCGGAATGAAACACTGGTACAAAATGGCTGCTACAAATGACCGTTACAGAACTACTCTCGTTCACAAATTTTTTAATTAATTTTTTTTTTGACAAAAATACGGTGGCTCTTGAGGCGCTAACAATGCCCTTTAGTGTGACGAAATTAATTAGTAAAATCGATAGTTTAATTGAAAGCGACGATAGAGAGACAGAAACTCATCTAGAAATACTGGATCAGTTGAGTCGAAAGGAAGAGTCATTGAGAACCTTAAACGGGGAGATTGAGGGTTTCATTACTAGCCCAACTGATTATGACACTGAGATAGTCAATAGTGAAGAATATGAGGACAAAATTATAAGTTGTAAATTTAAGATCCAGTCTCGTATTAAACGATTAGAAGCAGATTCGTCCGTGGTCACGGTGACTCAGGGCCCCGTAGTTCGAAATAATTCCGCTAATATTAAGTTGCCGGAGATTCCTCTACCGAAATTCTCTGGAAAATATGAAGAATGGAGTAACTTTAAAATGCAATTTGATAATATCATTTCGTCAAACGAGCAACTGTCGGCAGAACAAAAACTACATTATTTGAAGGCTGCTCTCGTAGGGGAAGCTAAGAGTTTAGAAACGTTAAACGATTCGTTTGCTTCATTGTTTCAAGCGCTACAAGAAAGGTACGAAAATAAGAAATTAATAGTAGAAACCCATGTTAATGCGATTCTGGACTCTGTAAAATTACCTTTTGAGTCAGCAAGGGGTTTGAGGAGTTTAATTGATAGAATCAATAGGAATATGCGAGCACTAAAAGTCCTAGGATATGAAAGGAATGAGCTTTGTGATATCTTAATTTTAAACATCGTACTTCACAAGCTGGATAAGGAAACTCTAAAACGGTATGAGTTCAGTATAGAATCGCTTCTTTAAACGATATGTATGAGTTCAAAATAGAATCGCTTCTTTAAACGTCGTTCGAAACATCGAATTCAGTTTTCTACTTTACTATGGATAGAAAAGGTCGTGCCACAAAAAGCCGAGTGACATTCTCGTCATTACAAGAAAATAATTCATCACAGAGATTATGTACTCCCGTCGGGGAAAATTTGCACCGTTATATTAAAGGGCATTGTTAGCGCCTCAAGAGCCACCGTATTTTTGTCAAAAAAAAAATTAATTAAAAAATTTTCGAATGAACATTTCGAATGACGTTCCTAAACTAGATAATTTAATTTCATTTTTGGAAAAGCGTTCTCAGATTTTAGAAAATATTCATAAGACCACGTTCGTGAAACCAAGGTGTAGTCAAGATAGAGTTAAACCGAAAAGCTTGTTCGTGAAATGTAACAATTCTATGTCTCATTGTATTTTATGTAAGCAAAATCATCCTGTTTACACTTGTGATTCCTTTTTACGGCTGGAAGCCTCCCAAAGAAACGATGTTGTGGCCAAAAACAACCTCTGTTTCAATTGCTTAAGTGATCGGCATAAGTTATCCAGTTGCAACTCTAAGAGCTGCTGTAAGATATGCCGAAAGCGACATAATACATTACTGCATCGAGAGAAACAAGCTATGATTGGTTCAAATGTGCCAGTGGTCGTCAGCAAACCGACTCCAATCAAGCAAGACCTTAATCCCGACGCAATAGAGTTTCGTGAAAGTATACCTCACTCACTGTCATGCATTGACAATGGAAATAAGACAGTAATTCTCTCGACAGCCATGGTTTGGGTTTTAAATCATACTACCGGAGCCAGCATTCAAGCGCGCGCAGTATTGGACTCGGGCAGTATGTCAAATATCGTTACTGGAGATTTCGCAAGTCGTCTGGGTACCCCGCAAGAAAGAATCGATCTCACAGTCTCCAGTATAAGTGGAAATAAAACCTCGGTCAAGTTTAGGCTGATTGCCACAATAATAAACGGCAATGGATCTTTTTCTAAGAAGCTAGAGTTCTTGGTGGTGCCAAGGATCACGGATTTACTCCCTGTTTCCTCTGTACACATTAGCAAAACAGAAATTCCACGTCAGTTAGCGGATCCAAGATTTGCTACACCAGGCAAGATTGACATGCTTATTGGAGCTGAAGCATTCTTTGAAATAGTTAAGAACGATCAAATTCGTCCATTTTTTACTTTAAACAATAAAATAACTGGTTTTGAGAATTTTTTGGAATTGTATATGCATACAAAATAAGGATTTAATTGATAATTGTATATGCATACAAAATAAGGATAAAAACATAAATTCAGTATCTGAATGCAGTAAATATATTCCACTTGAGCAGAGGGCAAATTGAAAAAGGTTCCTAGATTCCTACTTGTTTTGCACAGGACTTTAGCTTTGGAAAAACTTTTTGAAGTGGCTGAGTAGCCTTAAAAAGATCAATGCCACAAAATTTGTAGTGTACACAGTATTTCTATTTTAAACAATTTAATTATCAATTGTCATTTTTATATTTATATGTGGCAAAAGATAAATGAGAAGATGGATTTTTCCACACTTCTTGCAATGGACATGTCTCATAAATGATTTAACTCCATTGTATTCAATACTAAATGAAGTTTGGGAAGTGAGCTGAACAAATATTGTCACAAGTTAACCAATTTTTGAATTCATTCACTTGTGCCATGAATATCTAGACCAGTGGTTTCTAAAGTGGGCACTACTACCTCGATGGGGGTGAGTAAACTAGTGGGGAAAGAAGCAAATGGGCTGCGGAGATGCTTGAGGTAGGTATTGAATGGTGACAATAGGCGAAGGTTGGGGTCACTGACAACCTTTCCCTTAATTAAATGTTCATGGTTTTTTGTGGATTTTTAAAAAAAAATTAAAGCTGTTGGCTTCTTTCAGTAACATATCGCACAGGGAACAGTTATTGATACAGGCTTTATTGATGGAGGAAATGCATTTTGGGTCTTATTAATGACCCCTCTTCAGTCCTTATTCTTTACAAAAAAAATATCACATCACAGATAAAAAAAAATTTCTGTATTATTATCTGTGATGTAATATTTATCTATCACTTCTTTTGTAAAGAATAAGGACTGAAGAGGGGTCATTAATAAGACCCAAAATGCATTTCCTCCATCAATAAAGCCTGTATCAATAACTGTTCCCTGTGTGATATGTTACTGAAAAAAGCCAATAGCTTAATTTTTGTAAAAAAACCTTTCCCTTTCTTATTAAAACGGGTAAGAAGAAACATTGCATTTAATGGTTTCCAGATGTTGAGAACAATGTTTTGTAAGGACACAGTGTGAAAAAAAAAGTTTTCCTAATATTTTCAAGTCTCTCACACAAAGGAAATGGGTTAGGGGGCATTGGGGTGTAACTTTATAGAACTTAGGGGTTGGTAAACTTGAAAAAATTTGGGAATCACTGATCTAGACTGATTAATTTAAAAAAATCAATTTTTAAATCTCTAAACGGCATTAAGCAGCATGAACAAGTATTTTTACTTGGAATTGCGCAAATATTTGAAAATTTAACGTATTACATCACATCTGTAAATCATCATAAAAACTTTCATAATTATAATGAGAAAGTCATTTTATCATTATAAGTAAACATACTAAATATTAAAAACAATTTTATATAATGTTTCAATTAAAATATAATTTTGTTTCATTTTAAACTGTTTTAAACTCATTTTAAACATGTTAAACTGCCAACACTTAAATATTTTTGTCGACTGCTGGCCTCCGTTTGAAATTCTATAGCCCGATAGTTCAATCAATGTTAACTCACTTATAATTAAAATTTTTAAAAAGCAGTCAAATTCACGAAACAAAAATTAATGAAATCACTTTTTAAAAAATTAAAATAAATTTAAATTTGATTATCTTTTCTGCTTAACAACACACACAATTTCTATAGTCATGTCGCAACAGAAAAAAAAAAGACTTGCAATTAATTTAAAAAATGTAGGCAAAATTAAATAATAATTAAAGTAAAAAGGAATAAAATAACAATTAAAACTCTGGCCTTTATACCAAAACCGAAAATAAAATCAAATGAATTAAAATTAAAATCAAATCAATTGAAAATGAAAGTAATATTTTTAAAAACTGTTTAAAAGTTGTTTTTCAATTTTAAAATTGTAAATCAAATTAATTTTTCAATTCACGTTGTTTATGTGAGGCAGTGACTCTTCACAAATTTTGCTTTAACATTTTGCTTTTAATGTACAGGATGTAACAGAAAGGTGTGTAAAAACTTTGAGCAGTTTTAGAAGGGTTAATTTTGAGTCAAAAATTCTACGGTCATTTTTTGATTGAAGTGTTCATTTTGAGTTATAAGTGATTTTAAAAATGTGACGTCACTTCCTGTTTAGCAAAACACCATATATGAAAATATTTGTTGATAATTGCATGTTAGTTTGATAATCGTTACTTATTATCTGCAATTTTATTAATTTGTTATGTAGATTTTGAGTCATTTTTGTAACAACACATGACTTAATTTTATAAGTATGCTTCAGGCTGACGGTAGTGTTACCACCCATTTAGTTTTCACCTGGACAAGAATTGACTGCCCTGGTGAACTATTAATTTTGTCCGTTGATTTCATAGAAATTGTGAAATTACGATGAAACAAAGTTCTTGCAAATATTTTTACAAATTTACACTATTTTAACAGTGAAAGAACTCACACTCACTGAAACTCATCTTAATTCTGCCATGTTAATCTGTTTATGCCGACGTGTGGTGCGCAACCTGTATTTTTTTGCATGTACAATCATACATGTCTGCAATATCCAATAGAGCTAAGTCATCTGTACCTGTTCTTTCTTAATTTAGGGTTACTTACGTTACTCCTATGCAAGTCCCTAGTCCCTAACTATAACTGATTTAGAACTGGGATGCACGTTATTCATTGCGCATGTGTCATGCACTTCTGTTCAAACAAACCTGGCCTGCCGTCGAGGTCAGCAGTTTTGAAAAGGTGGCAACACTAGCTGACGGTGTAAGTTCTACAATTAGCCAAAATTTGCATATTCGAAATGTTCTTAGAATATGGAACATTTAAAACTTCAAATGTTTAAAATTGCAGATAATAAGTAACAAACATCAAACTAACCTGCAATTATCAACAAATATTTTCCTACATAGCTAAACAGGAAGTGACGTCACATTTTAAAAATTGCTTATAACTCAAAATGAATGCTTCAAATTAAAAAATGGCCCTAAAGTTTTTGATTTGAAATTAACTCCTCTACAACTCCTCAAATTTTTTACACACCTTTCTGTTACACTCTCTATAATACAAATACAAAATACAGATTTCCGGTCAAGCCAGCCGGATGTCAACCCTAAAGTCATCCTATCTCCCCTAAAATGGGAACAGTTATTAGTTTACTGCCCACCGTGACAGATGTCACCTGGTGTACTCTGCTTTGTCTACATAAAAGCTTCCAGTAAACTAATATTTAATTGTTAATATAGTAATTTTAAAACTTTTTAATCTTTGAGTGAAACAAATAATTAATTTTCTTATAAAATGTGGAAGAATCATTTTCAAGAATTGGAAATTGTGATGAGATTCCGATACTCAGAAACTGTCAGATTTTTCCAATTCCAATTAATTGTCCCATCACTAGAAATAATAGGCTTAATGAAAATAACAACAGTGAATTACATAGCTTATTATATAATGGCTTGGATCTCCTATTATCATTAACTGTTAGCATTTAAAATTAATAACTGTTCATGGAGTTTCAAGCTAGTCATTTTCAAAAAATCTATTAGATTTATTCTGATTCTATTAAAGAATGAACTTATTTATTTATATAGAAAACATTATAATCCTTCATCTATTTACTAATATTAAAATAATCTTTTTTCATACAATATTATCTTTTTATGGCAGGATAAACAAATGAAAAAATATATAAATTTACCAATCTAGAGGTAATTTAAAAGATGTAATTCAAATTGCTTTTCTCAGAATGAAAAATTTTTAGGAATTAGACTGCTTTTTGGGCTACACGTTTATTATAAGAGCAAGACTATGACATTAGTACATAAAATCTCTCTGCCCTTAATTTTTAAATTTGTAACTTTGACTTCAAATAGAATCAAGTATGAAGTAGGTTCAATTATAGCAGATGAAATAGGAGTGATTTCAATTCTTTTGTCAAAGCTCAATATATTGTGGTTGTTCGTAACGAGAGATTTGTGAGTGTGCGAATAAACATTACAAATAGGAACACAGGAACTAAAACATGTATGATTGAATATTCCTTTAATGCTCTCCAAACACGTTTTTTTTTCTAGTTTTGTTACAAAGATTTCAACTTAACAGGTTTCTTTACCCTATTATCCTCACAGGAAAATAGGTCGCCTCCTATTCTCGTACAAGTATATAACGTACGCGCACATAACACAAAAACCTTGATAACCGGCTTAAAAACTAATCTTATGTCTAACTTAAAACTAATATAACAGGGAAACGATTAGACTTAGGAAAGTGTAGAAAGTATAAAGAGATAGAGATTACCCGGGTCCACGTTGATTGATCGATATCTTTGGGGAGGTGCCCTTTCACAGACGTGATCTTTTATTCTTCTTTACTGATTCAGCAATTCATTCTCGAGGTTCTCTGATTCTTTCAGTTTTCCTTAGTCCCTCATGCTTCTTCCTTTCTAACTTCGACAGTCCTCTCTTATACCTGCCGTCTTCTTCCCACTTCTCTCTTTGAGCTTTGCTCACTACACTGTACGTTCGTTCCTTTTGAGGTCCAGCCAGAAAGTGTTTTCCTCTCTCCTTCTTGCCTCAAACTATATTTTCTTTTATTTATTTCCCCAAATTTGGAGAAGCACTAATACCTTACTCCTTTATTTCACCTTTGGTTCTGAGAAGGGGTAAGCCTCCCCCCTCAAGTAGTAACGGTCGATATGGAAAGTTCTCGAAGACAATAGAAAGAAAGTAGAAGAATAGAAATAAAATAAGGAATTATGAACTATATACAACTTACAGTATGGCTGATGGCCACAATATATATTAATTAATAATCAATAATGGTAAGCTTACTAAACTCATAAAATGGTACCATAACACATTTAATTATCACATGAATCATATACTGTTTACCAAACATTTTTACATCTTTCAAAATATTTTATAGTGTTACATAATGCAAGATCAAACTCTCCCATTTTCCTTTAACACTTCATGATGCTAAGATCTTACCACCATTCCCCTATTCAGCATTACATAATACTTGAATGGCCGCAAAGATTATTTTCAATAATACTTCAATAATTATTGAATTACTTTACATAAAAATTACTTAAATAAAGTCAATAAAGACTGAACAATAAATTTAGATCTAAACTAACTTACAAAAAAAGTTTATTGAAAATATAAGATAAATGTTTTTGAGATCAAGACCTGACTTTTGATCATTTATCAAGTACAGTAGAGTGTCGTTTATCCAAAAGTCGATTATCCGAAAGAATTCCAGACGGCAAATTTAAATTTTTGCTAGTGCTGTGTCACTGCAATCTTTGGCTATGTCTTGGGCTACTCAAATATTTTACATTTTTGATACTAAATTAACTTCTGAAGTATAATTTTTTAATTGTTTTTTATTTTNGTGGCGCTGCAATCTTTGGCTATGTCTTGGGCTACTCAAATATTTTACATTTTTGATACTAAATTAACTTCTGAAGTATAATTTTTTAATTGTTTTTATATTTTTCAATATATTTATTTTGTTTGTACAAAATAAAGAAATGATTTTTAACGATACAATAGCCACGATTATTATTTTAAAAAGTTTACGTTAAGCTTAACATCGATGAAAATTCAATGCGAAGCGACACGCAACGGAGAAAAATTTCAACATGGGATAGGTTAATATATTTTTTTCGTACATAATCGGTTATCCGAAAAATAAGTTATCCGAACAACCCCAGTCCCCAATTGATTCAGATAAACGACGCTCTACTCTAGTACCATTTTTTAAAATTGAAAATTAACTGAATTTGTTTAATTTGAAAAAAAAGAAAAAGAAACTACAGTAGAGCCTCAATTATTCAACCCAATTGGGGACTGGGGTTGGTCGGATAATTGAAAAGTCGGATAATCGAAAAGTATGAAAAATCCATTATTAGTGTAGTATATTATTATATCCCATGTAATTAGTATATTAATATATTAGTATATCGCTATTAACCTACTTTGCGTTGAATTTTCATCGATGTTAAGCCTAACAAAAATTTTTTAAAATAATAATCGTCGCTATTGTATCGTTAAAAATTAGAAAATTAAGCTTCGTTTAAATACTGGCTCCCTTTCATGGTCGAATGAGTGTTGCCAGCTAAAACACGTAAAAATAATATTAAAGTAGCC